GCCTGGGACAGCAGGACCCGGCTGGCACTGCCACCCCCATACCCCCGGACACCTCATACCACAGAAGGGAGCCCCAGGGCACAGCCACAGGCACCCAACATCCTCACAGACACCAAGGAATGGCAGTAGTCACCTCTGCCCCAGCCCTGGCATCCCTGCCACACTGTCCAGTGCCACTCTGAGGGCTGGAGAGATATCCCCAGTGCCTCCTCCAGGTGGGAGGCAGTGCCTGGTCACAGGATGATGCTCAGGCCCAGCTCTGGCTGAGACAAGCAGGTGGGATGGGCCGATCCAGCCAGCCCAGCACCTTCCCCTGGTTACTCACAGGGAGTGCTGAGGCTTGGCAAGGGGCTGGCACAACAGTGAGAGGGAAACTGAGGCAAGCTCAGACCTGAGCAGTTTTCCTGTCTCCCTGCCATGGCTGAACCCCGTGTGCCCCATCAGTAACTCAAGCCCAGAGTCCTCCTGGTGAGGTGGCAGCCGTGCCCCTGCCAGCCGGGCAGAGCCAGCACTCGGTCCCCACAGAGAGCTGGTGGCTCCCACACAGGGAAGGAGAGGAGCACACAGAGACAGGGACAGAGGTCCCAGAGCACACACAGAGCCAACCCAGAGCAGGGATGGCAGCGTGGCAGCCAGCAGTCCCCAAACACGGGCTGTCAGGAGAGTTTGCCCTCAGTGCCCATGCCGGCACTGATGGCTGGATCCCTACCTGTGCTGGGGCTGTGGGTGGCACTGGGGCAGGCAGCACCCAGGCGAGCTCCTCTGCCCCGGCGCTGCTGGTGCTCAGCTCCCGGGGTGACTGGTGTCCCTTCCCTGGCAGGACAGTGGCTCATGTGGCTCCGAGAGTCTCCAGTCACCCGGGAGATGACCCTGATTCAAAGGCTTTTCCCAGCCCAGCCGGGGCGGGCTCTGGCCCGGCTCCAAGCCGGGAGGTGCCGGAGCCTGTGCCTGGCCCGTCCCTTGCAGCACCGAGGGTGCCACCGGGGCTTGGGGACGAGGCACGAGGAGCCACCGCGGGTCACCGCCTGCCTGGCCCTGCGGGGACACAGCCTCCTGCTCCGAGCCCCGCGGGCTCCGCGTGGAAACGCCCCGGGAATGCTTCAGGGAGGGGCGGTGAGGGACGGCAGCAGCCCCCGTGGGCTCCCACGGGCAGCCTGGCTCTGTCCCGGCCGCTGCTGCTGCTGCCCAGGGAGCAGCCGTCCCACCGCGGACAGGGAAATATTTACAAGCAGCAGCGAGGTGGAGCGCACAGACCTGTTTGGGGACGGAGGATGAATAATCTGCTCCCGGGCACGGGAGCCACGGAACACCCGGCTCTTCCCAGCCTGGCTGCGGCCGCCCTCACCAGGAGCGGGGCTCTGCCAGTCGGCATTTGACACGGACAGGGAGTGGGACCCCAGCCAGGAGACTGGCATTGAGTGCCAGGATGGGAGTGACGGAGCCCCTGGGCTCCCAGGGAGCACATGCCTGGCTGCCTGCCCTGCTGGGGCACGGAGCAGCCTGGCACAGGGACTGCCCCTACTCCCCATCCTCGTCGCCAGCAGAGATGATCTTGGCTTGGGACAGTGCCAGGAGAGCCCCATGCCATCATCCCCTGCCAGGTGCCCACGCTCTCTCCTGGCACCGGCAGTGCCAGGAAAGCACAAGTTTGGGAGCAGGAGGGCAGCAGGTGCTCCTGGCAGCAGGACAGGTCTCCACAGGGCAGCACCTGCCCTGGGGATGCGGAGCAGCCGATGGAGGGATGCAGGGTCAGGAGCGGGCACCGGCCCCGGCCACGGGAGCTATCCCATTCCTTGGGAAGAGAGGCCTTACCATGGAGGAATGTCACATCTGCCAGGCTTGCCTGTGCTTCCAGGTCCCCATGTCACATCCGAGCGGACCCCAGGGCGGTGGGAGAGCGCAGCGTGCCAGGAGCCAGAGGAGCTGAGGGGGTGTGAGAAAACCCCGGTTCCTCCCAGCGCTTCCTGGGCTGCCTGGCCCCTCCCTACCCGTCATTGTGCTGAGCTTTCCTGCTGCCTGGCAAAGCCCTGGGGCCAGCACGGCTGAGTCAGGCCGCCTGCACCCTCATCATCCTCCCGGGCTGTCAGGGGAAGCTGAGGCACAGGAATGTCCGGTCTGCGCTCACGGGCCCGGCGGGAGCGGTGCCACCACACGGGAGCGGGACACACGGGGCTGCTCGGGGCGCTGGGGAGTCCTGCCCTGCCCTCCCTGGGAATCTCAGCTCAAAGTGAGGAGGCAAAACCCTCACTCTGAGGCAGAAAAGCAGAGGCCTGCTCTGTCCCCAGCTGCCGTCCTGCCCGTGCCCGGTGGCAGCTGTCCCCTCTGTCCTGCCCGTGCCCGGTGGCAGCTGTCCCCCTCGGTGGCCACGGAGCCCCAGAGCGGGCTCGGCTCAGCTTACACAGCGCTGGCTCCATCCAAGGTGTCACAGCACAGCTGCTTCTCGCTTACGCAGGCTCAGAGCCGTCCCCTGAGACACAATGTCCCGGCCTGAGGTTACGTGGGGGCTCCCGGGACTCTGCCGTGGTGGAGGCAGAGAGGGGACCCTGTGTGAGGCACTTTGCACGCTCCAGAGTACAAGTGCCTTGGGGCTGAGGGGCTCTGTGTCCAGCTGAGCGAGGTGGGACAGCCTCCTGCCCATTCCCCAAGGGAAACAAGGCACAGAATCCCTCCAGGTATCCATTTCCCTCTAGGAAGGCTGACCCCGAGCAGCCCTGGAGGGAATGAGCCACAAAATGTTTGCTCTCTGGAGGGGACAGGAGTGACCCTTTCGACAGATGGGGACTGCAGTGCCTCTGGCACAGCCTGGCTCCTGCGTTCCCCACCACTCCCACCCCACAAAGTGACAAGCCCTGCCCAAGGTGACTCACCCAGCCTGGCCAGGGTCCTTCCCCTGCCAGCCCTGGGCCTGAGGAACCCCCAGGCTCACCCCACACAGCCGGGAGTCACCACCCTGGCCCCGCTCCCTGCTGCTGACCCATCCCCACCCTGCTGCAGAGCCTGCTGCTGCTGCTCCCGGGCCACCCCCCAGGCAGCAAAACCCCAAACCCACGGGGGACCCTGACGTAAGACCCAGGGCATGAATTACTGCTTTGAGGTCTGTGCGTGCCAAAAAAAAGAAGGGACCCTCGGGCAGGAGGCTCTGCCCACGCTGGGGAACGAGGAGGGTGCCGGGGAGGGTGGCTCAAAGGCAGGATTTTGTGTGTGAACTCAGAACCTTCTCCCTGGAGAGAAACCTCTCCCCCGGGCTGTTATCCGGCTGCAGGAAGAGCGGGACAGTTTTGTCTGTCTCCGTGTCCCCCTCCCCGGGGCCGTGTCCCCACCTGCACTCACCTGCATGTGGCACGGGTGGCCGATGGCTGCTCAGGACACGGCGAGGGGTGACCAGCCAGGCATTCGGTGATGCCCTCGGCGCTGGTCCTGCCTCCTTGGGGAGCTTGCCCCGGCACCGGAGATGGGCAGCAGCCGAACCCTTCGCAGGGGACAGGACGCCCCCGGCTCAGCCCCTCCACGCTGGGAGGGAGCGCAGTGGCCGGAGGGGGCCGAGCCCGAGGGCTGTGGGGCCACGTAAAAACACCACCGCAGAAATTCAGGGCTCGGGTTACCAGGCAGATAAATATAGTGTCTTTATCTGACCTCACAGGGCGCTGAAATGCTCCTCTCGCATTCCAGCTTGGGGAGGCTTAAAGGGGACGCGAGCCCGGGTGGGCTGGTGGCCCTCGGCAAGGGGGTGCTGCCAGGGGAGGCTGCGGGGGCTGTGCGGGGTGGAGCAGGACTAAGGGTAAGCGTGAGGCACGGAGAGATTTGGGGAGGCAGGTCGAGGTCCAGGAGGCGAAGGATAGAGGGAGGGTTAAGGGAGGGAGCGGTGGTGGGAACACCGCTTGGTGCGTGTGGGGCAGGGAGGCACAAAAAGGGGCGCTGGTGGCTGCCAGCAAGGTTTGGAGTAGAGCATCAGGGTGAGGGGAGGAGCTGGACTGGGTTTTGCCCCCCCCTGGGATGAGCTGTAGGGAGAAGAGCCCACTAAACCTTCAGCAAAGGTGGGTGTGGGGCAGCTGGCGTGGCGTGGCCGCCCCTCGTGGATCCATGGGGACGCCTGACCCGCCCAGGCTACGGCACCTGCGTGGCCGTGACTCAGCGAGCACCTGCCGAGGATAATGGGGAGGGATGTAATTAGGTTGGCATCTTCCTCCCTCCCTCCCTCTGGCTCCAGCCCTTAAACAGGGAGGGGCGCGTCGGGGCGTCACTCTGGGAGGTGGCGCAGGGTCACCAATGGTGTCAGGGGGTGGTGGCTGAGTCCTGCTGGTGGCTCCTGGTGCCAGGGTGGCATCTTGACGCTGGGCAGGGCAGTGTATGGCTGCTGCAAAGGACATGAGAGCCCTTGGCAGCCCCCAGGCAGTGTGTGGGCACAGGAGCTCCAGCAGGACCCTGGTGTGATGGGCACAGGAGCTCCAGCAGGACCCTGGTGTGATGGGCACAGGAGCCCCAGCAGGACCCACGTGTGATGGGCACAGGAACCCCAGCAGGACCCTGGTGTGATGGGCACAGGAGCCCCAGCAGGACCCACGTGTGATGGGCACAGGAGCTCCAGCAGGACCCACGTGTGATGGGCACAGGAGCTTTGGGACATGTGCACACCCCGCCCCGCTCCCATGGCCACTTCCATCCCTGGCAATTCCCTCCCCAAAGGATGGAGGGGCCAGGGCCAGACCTGGTCCCCTGCTGTGCCTCCCTGCCACCATGGTGTCTGGGATGGAGCTGGGGGTTTAGGGACGGGGATGGGGACAAAGGGTCTGGAAGCAGGGGGCCTCACTCCAGATGGGCAGGAGGGGGTTGCCCTGCCCAGGGAAGCCACATCTTGCCCCTCTGCCTGCTCCTCTCCCACAGACATTGGGGTGCTGGAGGCACATGGGGGTTGCCTGGGGGGCTGTGCCCCTCAGCAGGGTCCTGGTGCCCAGCCCCACACAGCCCTCATCCCCAGTGCCACACACACGGGCGCCCGTGGCTCCAACACAGAACCTAGGTAGGGTTTTATTGTGCAGACAGAGAAACACTCCTTGGATGGTAAGGTGGTCTTTTTTTTCTTGTTGCTTTTCATAGGGTTCTTTTTTTTCCTTTTTTTTTTTTCCCTTTTCCCTTAACAGAATTTCTTTGACGACAAGCTGTGGAAATAACTACAAATGTTCACAAAAAAATGAGACTCGAGCCGCGTCCGCGCTCTGCCGTTGGGCTTTGCGCCTGCCCCGGCGCTCACCAGCACGCCCAGGGAGCTGGGCACAGCCAGGCCTCAGCTGGGCACGGCCTCAGCAGCACTAGACAGCAAGCAAGCAGGCAGGGATGGGCAGGGGACGGGCACAGGGGTAGGAAGCAGCTCTGGAGAGGAGCAAGGAGTGGGGAGCAGCTGCTGTGTATTGCTCTCAGCCGTGGTGGCACAGCCCGGGCTGCACGGGTGGCACAGCTGGATGCTCCTGCCTCTTCCTTTCCCTGTGCCCTCCCCTGGGTGAGGCTCCTCGGGGTCCCGTGGGCAGCCCTGGGCTGGCAGATCTGAGCTGTGCTGGCCATCCCTGTCCCTGCTCTCGCCAACCCCTGGCACCATCCTGGCCTTGCTGAGGTTGTGGGCTGCCCTTCGGTCCTTTGCTGCTCTTAAAGGGAGACGGGGAAATGCTGAAAGGGAGGAGGGAGAGGGGAGGGGGCACACGGGCTCCTCCCAGGAGCACGGTGGGATTTGAGGAAGACTGCTCTGCCTCTCCATGAGGAAGGGCTGGGGATAGCTCCAGATGTTCCCTTCGGGAAGACAAAGTGCCCCTACAGAGGAGTCCCTGCAGAGACCTTGGGGTCACGCTCCCAGAGGGGAACCCCCTCCTCACCAGCCAGCCCGGGCACAGCTCTGAGGGCTTGGGGAGGGCAGTGGGGCTGTGGCTAGCTCAGAGAGGCTCTGCTTGCCTCCACTGGTGCTGGCAGCAATTCTCTCGTCACAGCTAAGGGCTGGTCCCCGGGGAGAGCGAGTGGTGTCTCTGGCTTGGGCAGCCCAAAGGTACCAGATGGTGTCTGGAGGAGGCCTCACTTCCAGCTCAGCTGTAAGAAATAGATTAGGAAAAACTTGTTGCCGAAGCACATTTGCACTGAGCCCGTTCCCAGGGTCCCAGAGGAGCCCTAAGGAGGCAGGGGGGGTTCATGGTGTCTCCTAGACCTGCTCCCCTCTCTCCTCCCAGCCTGCCAGGCCCAGCAGCGTCCCATGGCTCCCCATTCACTGAGTCATTCTGTGCCCTCTCCCAGCCGTGGCAGCTCAGGGTGAGAGGAGCAGGGTGAGGCAGGCAGGGCGGGTGGGGACACCAAGAGCCCTGTCACCTCCAGGGGCCACAGGCACAGCACCCACCACGGGCACCCTCCACACGCTCTCGCATCACCCCCCTCTCTTACCTGCCAATCCAGCTGTCTTTCCCCAGTTGAGAACAGGCAAACCCCAAGAGTTAAAGGGATGGGACAAGCGAGGCTGAGGCCTCCAGTGCTCCCAGCACAAGCAAACCAGCCAGCCTACGGAGCGGGGAGGAGCGATGGGAGAAGCAACGCTGCCTAGCAGAGCCACCATGCTTCGGAGCGGGGCGCGTGTGCGTGGGATGGTGGGCCTCGGCACGGGACGGTGGTTAGCGTAAATATACGGCTAAATAGAGATAACACAGAGAGGTTTCACGGCTTCCAGACGCTTCAGCTTCTCTTTCCAGGGGCTGCGAGGAAGGCGGGGTGGCTGGGGTGCTCGGTGTGTGCGTGCGTGTGTGTGCGAGCGCTGTGAGTGTGTGTGTGTGTGTGTGTGTGTGTGTGTGTGTGTGTGTGTGCGTTTCGCCTTTCACAGGGACACGAAGTCCACGGCTTGCAGGAGAGGAAGGGAAAGGAGCAGCAGCAGGAGCCACGAGGTGTTCTGGATCAAGAGGCTGAAGCCGGCGCATTTCTCCAGTTTGTCTGTGAGGAGAAGGAATGGGGAGGGAGAGAAGAGAGGCCATGAAATCCCTCGGGAATGGGGCTCAGGCTGGGAGTTCTAAGGGTACAGGAACACAGCTTTGTGCCTTTGCTCTGTCACAGAAGTCCAGCACATCCCATCCTGGCCTGTTTCCCTCCCAATGGAGGGAATGTAGTAGCAAAGACTTTTTGGGACCCTGAGAAGCATAACCCTGCCTGTGCCTGACTGAGGTGACAAGTGGGTGGGCACCAGGTGAGACAAGGGTCTCTTAGCCCCTTTCTGGAGGACAGATCCTGTGGGCTGTAGGTGTGGAGGATCCCCACTGTCCTCTCCATGGGAGGATATCAAGGCAATGTGCCTGAAGTGGGACTCAAGAGAGGCAGGAAAAGCGGTGTGAGATGGAGTAGAGTGAACCCATCTGTGAGACGAAGCGCACCTGAATGATTGGGACACATTTATAGATCCTCCCTGAGGATCCACAGGGAGTTGTGGTGCTCTCTGCTGGCCCTGCCAAGCCAAGGAGCAGGTGGGAAGGGCTGAGGCCAGGTGCCACTGCCTGTCTCACCTTTGATAACAGTGATGTTCTTTATCTGGTTGCCGGTGTAGTCGTTGGTGGCCTTCAGCTCGCACATGTAGATGCCCTCATCGCTGGTGGTGAAGCTCTGCAGGTGGAGGCACACCAGGTTCTTGTGCATGGTGACGTTGGCTCGGCTCCGGTAGATGTTCTCGGAGACGCTGATGGTGCTGTGGATGACGTGCTTCCTGTTGTCCTTGGTGATGCTGAACTCGTAGGTCAGGGGGTTGTCGGTTTTGTTCTCATAGCGACAGTCCACGCGCAGGTTCTGGCCCAGCAGGCAGGCACTCAGGTCCTTGATCATCTGGCAGTGGGCGGCCTGGAGGACTGGGAGAGGCAGGAAGGGGTTGGACAGGGATCAGCGAGCTTTGGGGGTGCCCGTGCAGCCTCCAGGCTGCTCTGGGCCGAGCAGGGAGCAGGGAGGGATGTACCTGTCAGGATGACAGCGATGCCCACGGTGGGGTTCATCTCGCTGCTGAGGTGCCCGGTGGGGGCTGTCTCTGAGAGGGGAACCTGGGCAGGGGGAGAGAGAGGCAGTTAGCCAGGCCACTGCCCCATGGGTGTGGGCACTCGGTGGTGCAGGCTGCCCTTCTTGCACAGACAATGCTCTGGCATCTGCTCCTCATCACCAGCATCTGATTCACTGCACAGAGACCGGCTGGCACTGCACCCAGCTGGGGAACCAGGCACTGCGTTTCTGCCCAGCATCATCTTTGCACTTCCCCATCCACACTTTGTTTTCCCTGTCCAGATCTCCCCAGCAGACATTAAATGAGCATAGCCAGACCCGCAGCAAGGCCTGCCTGTCCCCTGTCCAGCCTTCTCCCCCTTTTGCCCTATGGCCAGCCAAGGTTCAGACAGGTGAAACCAGGCTGCACCCCAGTGCCTGCACACCTTGACCAGAGGTCTGTGGCTCACGGCGAGGGGCTACCAGCTGAGGGACCCTCTTTGGGGGCTGGTGGGCGCCTGCCCTGCCAGCCCTCCCACAGCTCCAGCGGGTGAGCTCAGCAAGGATGAGTCATTGCAATGCAGTGAGGGAAAGGGGCCAAGAGCAGCAAGGAAGAGGGACACAGCAGCTGGACAGCGAGCCAAGACCGCCAAAGGATGGCACGAAGCCTCCAGGAGCTGAGCTCAGCCTGCCCGGCCACGGGCTGGAAGGGGTTTGGGTGGCAGCATCCACTGTCTGTGTCCCTGCCCGGTGCCCGTCTCTCTCCAGGCTGTGTGTGTGGGTAAGGGGCCCATGATGTGCCATGCAAACACCAGGGCTGCTGATTGCAGCCGGCCCAACGCAGCCACAAGGAATCAATTACAGGTTTGCAGGCTGGCCAAACAGCCGCGTGGGGAATCCAGCCGCAGACATGCGGAATGGAGGGACAGGGTGGGGGAGCAGCGAGGCAGCCAGCCTGAAGGACACACCAAGCATCTTGCAGTCAGCCCTCCAAGCTGGCCGTGTCAGGCCAGGTCCAAGAGGGGGAGCTGATAAACCAACCCTTCAGGGCTCCAGGCTGGCACAGGGGACAACAGACCCTCAGTTTGTTCCCTCTGAGCCTGGCAAAGCATCCAGGGAAGAGCTAGGAATTGCCTGTACCACTGCCAGCTGCATTTTTCTATTTAGCAATTTTTGGGTTTTTCATATAATATTCTAAGAGGAAATACCAAACCCATTTACTCACCCTGAAGCTCTGAGAAATTTCTTTATCCAGAGCCCTAAACCTTGGCCAGGAAGAAAAATTCCCTTCTCTTGATCTCACTGGCAACTCAAGAGGTTGCCAATGGGGTAAACACTTGAACTTCTGGATTCCTAGAAATTGTTCCCCCGTCCCTTGCTTTGTCATTTCCCAGCACCAATCTGCTCCCTTTTGAATGTCCTGGGGCACTATCTAGGTCATAGCCTGGCTTTCCTCCAGAAAATCCATGCAAAGAAGCTCCCAGAGAGGGGTTTTCCTCCCATCTATGTGCCCAAACACTCAGATTTTCTAGGCTCTGGGTTGATACACCTTGGAGCCTTCTTCTCCTGCCAGCAGTGCTGGGAGCAGAGCAAGCCAGGTCACTCTCACCCCTGCATGATCCCAGGGGTTTGGCGTGGGGACAGGGCTCAGGAGGACGGTGGCATTCGGGGGGCTCCAGCTCTTAGAGGGCAAAGCTCCCGGCGCAGTCCCCACCAGCTCGGGGCACACCATGGCCCCTGTACCTACCCCCTGTGCCCACCAGCGCGACAGGCTCGGGGTGACAAACGACCTGCGGGGATGGGGACAGGGGCAGGCTGGTGGGCTGAGGGAACGCAGAGCCGCGGGAAGCCTGGCTGTGCCGGGGGGTGGCTGCCAGCAAAGGGGGTGCGCAGGGCAGAGCGATGGGGCGACCCTCGAGGGGGGCAGGAGGGCTGGGGGTGGGCGAGCTGCCCCGCCGCAGCAGCGCGGAGCGGGAGCGCTGCCGCGGTGCGGGCGTGCGCGCGGGCGCGCCCACCGGGAATGCCGCAGTCCCGAGCCGAGGGTGGGGGGCACCGGCAGCGGGAAGAGAAGCCGAGCCCGTGCCCTCCTCCAGCGCGCTCCGTCCGGCCGAGCATCCCCTGAGAGAGGGGAGAGATGCTCCCGGTGCCACCGCCGCGCCCGGCGGACCCTCCCCAAGCCCGCAGCCCCGCGCTGTGCCCCGAGCGCAGCGGCTGCTCCCGGCCCGGCGGCGTGCGGGGCGCTGCGGGGCGGTCGGTGCCTACCTGCGGGCGCTGTCCGGTGCTGCCCGCTGCCTGCGGGGCTGCCGGCGCTGTCCGGGGCTGCCCGGCGGGCTGTGGGCGCGGCGCTCCCGCAGTCTGGGCAGGGCTGGGCGGGCGGACCCAGCGAATGGGGGCCGGGAGGCGTCACTGAGGTTCGGCCCCCGGCCCTGCGGCGGGGGGCGGTGCGGGGGGGCCCTGCCTCTGCGGGACTCGGACGCCCCCGCCCCGGACAAGGGGCGCGCACTGATGCGGAAGGTGCCGTTCGCCAGCCTTATGTTCCTCAGGAAGGGTGACACAGCCCCATCGCCGTGGGAACATCATTTTGCGGAAGAGCTGCCAACCCTCATCTTCCCCGGCAGAGTGGGAGGTGTTTTGCTGGGAAAGGAGGATGGTTGGGATGGGGAAAAGAAGCATGGTGTGGGCTTTGCTGAGGAGGGGGCAGGTATCATCCACATGAGTTCAGCTCAGGTGCTCCGAGGGGTCACTCTGCACCAGGTCACCACAGGTCTCCTCCGTGTGGGAAATCATTGTGGGAATGGCAAGATACTCAGCTGAATCAAAGAACCACACAATCATTTAATTTGGGAATGACCTTTAACACCATCGAGTCCAACTGCTAACCCGGCACTGCCAGATCCACTGCTAAGCCATGGCCCCAAGTGTCACATCTACAGCCTCTGTCTGTGATGTCACTGGATACAGACTTTCAGTTTTTGCTCCAGGTCTGGTGACAATGGGGACACAGCAAGGGCTTGCTCCCCACAGGCTCCCATCAGCATGTTTGGGAAGGAGATGAGCAGAGCTGCTTCTGCACAGGCAAAATGCCTGTGACAAGAAGCCTGGGACAAGACCTCTTCCCTGCTCTTTGGCAAGGTCACGACAGCAGAAGAGGACAGCAGCAGGGAGCTGTTTTCCCTGGGAGTTTGGGTCTGGAGGTATCCCAGGAAGGCATAGAGACATACAAGATGGCCTGCCCTGCCCTCACCTCCTCCCACAGCCCTGGCTGGGCTCTGCTAAAAGGGCTGATACTGGGAAAGTTGATACAAAAGTCATGTTCTCCTCCAGCAGAACCTGATCCCAGGTGACACTCGAGTGCTGAGGTTTTGCAAGCTGGCTGTGCAGGTGGTTTTGCTAATTCTACAGAAGCTTGGCTCTGGCTGCTCGCTCACTGCATGGGCTGCAGGTGTGCTGGCCCAAACAGGGACAGTCCCTCAAGCTGGCCAGGTGGCCTGTGGTGTCCTAGGAATGTTGAGCAGGGTCCAGTGTGCTGCCATGAGGAGGGCAGAGGGCTGACCCTCGTGGCAGAGGGGTATTAGAGACACTGTGGCAGCATGATGCACCACACTGCTGGCTCAGACTGGCAGGGCTGGCTATGGATGGGAGGAGAGGCATGGCAAAACAACAGGGAAAGATACCGAGGCTGGGAGCAGATGGATGCAAGGCAAAGAGACAGACACGAGGCACGCTGCAATGTTGTCGGGGGGGGGGGGGGGGAAACGTTGTAAGCACAAGGTCTATGTCCAAACACAGCTGTGATGTGAGGCAGCCCCTGTAACCACACACACACACACACACGGGTACTTTTCACATTTCACATCTCTACAAGCTGTCTCCTCCACATCCCCACTCTCAACCACAGCTATTGCAGAGTGAACCAGGGAAGTCAAGCTCCAATGACTGGCTTTTAGAGGCGTGCAGTGGCTCAAGGACCACTGTGAGATATTTGGGCTTCTTTTCAGTCTCTGGCTGTGGAGGCAGGCATGAGTGTGCAGTTTCTGGGCAGTGCTGGCAGTCACTTCTCTGCCAAAGTATTTGCAGGAGGCTCCTTGCAGAGGTTTTCCCTCTGGATAGTCCTTTTGCTGCAGATTGCAGCCTGGCTGCTATCCCTAAACCAGAGAAAAGCACCCAAGTCACACCGACTGCAGAGGCCTCCCAGAGGAAAGGGGTGGGGAGGAGAAAACCTAATAGTGACAGAGCAGTGGAGAGGGGGGCAGGCAGTGTTTGCAGTGGCAGGTGTCAGTCAGGGAGACAGACAGCAAGAGGAACAAGGAGGCGGCCAAACAGGCACAGTGCAGCACAGCAGTGCAGACACCAGCAGGAGCGAGTGGATGCGGCAGGACAGACAGACCAGCAGGCAGAGGCAGGGCACAGACAGCTCCCCTGGGAGCTCAGAGCAGCCAAACTGCCCCTGGATCCTCTCTAGGGAGAAAGCCAGGGCATGTGGGGGTCCCCAGGGGGAAATTCACTGCTCCCAATAGCTCAGTTGCTGCAGAAGGCAGCCTGGGAACAGAGGTTCTGAGCAGCACCATGACTCGGGTGTCTGGTGATGCTGCAGCAATTAAAACCTGGCCTTGCCCAAGGACATCCTGCTGCAGGAGACACCCTTCTAGGAGTAGGGTGGATGCACATCCTTCCCAAGGGGAACATCTCTGCCCTGCCCTCAGCCTATCCCAAACACAGGAATTGGAGAGTCTCTCCCTTTTCCTCCTGCTCATGGATCAAAGCACAGCACCATACCGTGGGTCCTGCTCAAAACAATGCCCATGCAGCAACCATTTGCTCCCACACTGCCAAGTGCTGGGGAGAAGTGATGTGAGGACATGAACAACAGGACTTGAGGGTGGCCATGCTGTGGAGAGACCCCTGACACCCTCCCCATAGCCATTAGAGCTGGGACATTGCAACATGGAGGAGTAAGGGAGAGCATCTGGGAATCAGTGGTGGAGCTGCAGAGATCACAGCCCAAGGAGCAACTGATGCTCACTTACCTCACGGCTCAGCCCAGAGACAGGAGGGCTGCAAAGGGTTTGCTCCTCACTGCACTAAGCCAAACCCAGGCCCTTCCCACCCTGTCTTTGAGGGACCAAGGAAGAGAGGCTGCAGAAGAGCTGTGCCCTTGATTGGAGAGACAGAATGGCCCTCGGGAGCCCAGCAAGGCCCCACAGATGCTAAATGTAGCACGGCCCAGATATGAAACCCCTGGGCTTTGTGGCAGTGCTGCACAGAACAGAGGTGGAGGAGACTGTGCTCCCCTGTTTCCTGAGGCAGCCCAGAGCCATGGAAAACAGGGGCAGGCAGGATTCCTGCTGCAGCACTGCCTGGGGTCACATCAGCCTGGCAAAGATGGCCAGCACAGAGCCCCAGCCTTGGTAACCTGTACCTACTTTGTGCCTGCATCCTGCATAAAGAGAAGCCCCAGAGAGTGAAGATCTCCAGCAGTGATCAGGGCTAGGGAGTGCCCGTGAGCAATCAGCTCCAGCCCTGCACTGACACACTTGCCAGCAGCAGTCCCTCCCTTGCTGCATACTCTGTCCTGGAGCTGCCTCGTAGCTCCCGGCTCTGTGCTCACAACCAGCCACAGGAGTGCCCCAGGGTGGGAATGCTGTCGAGGGGGTTTCTCTGGGAGGCTGCCAGCACTGAGCATTCACTGCAGTGTAGGATCCTCTGCAGTAAATCCTGCTTCACCTGCACTTCTGCCTTCCCAGCCTGCTGTGATCCACCAGACAGGACCTAGCAGTGGAGCCATCCTGCCAAAGCAGAGCAGAGCCATTGTCCCTGCAGCTTGACATCCATCTGGAGGAGGGGGTGACTATCTTTGTCTGCCTCCAGTCCCAGGCCACTAAAATCTCTTTGCAAGTCTTGGGAATCCTTGTGGGAGCCAGCCAGGACATGAGGAGCCAGCTCAGCTTGGAAGAGGAGGTTGACTGAGGTAGAGAGCTCTTGGTTTGCTCCATCTGCTCTCCAGACTGAGTGGGAAGGGTGCTTGGCTGCCTGCTCCAGCCTCCTCCTCACCACTTCCCATCACATCCTGTTAATTCTTGGCAGGGAGTGGGTTTTTTTGGGAGAGCTGCTTTTTGCACTGTGCCCTGCAAACCTGATCTCTGCTGAGCTGCAAGGGAGACTCATCCCTGCAGGCAGGAGAGGCATCTCTGCCAGCTGAGATGGGCAGGTCTGGCAGGTAACTCCTGGCTCAGCTTGCAGACCTATTTCTTACCTGCAGAGTGTGGTCAGTGGCCACAGGGCCTGTATTCCAAGCTCTTTGCAAGGTGCCACATCCCACGGGCTCTTTGGAGGGGAGTGAACATGGACAGAGCTAGAATTGGGAAAAGCTGCCACTTCAGATGGTGAAACTCCCTTGTGCCACCTGCTGAACACCTGTGACACTGCCACGCTCACTCCTTTTAAAATGGCGAGTACCTGTGGGGGCTGATACAGGATGTGCAGCACTGGAACCCTGAGAGGGAACTGATTCCCAGATAAACCTTAAGGCCCTTTGTTTTAGGGAAACTTACTCATGTTGGAAAGGAGAAGCTGCTGGGGGTTTCCAGGAGGTGCTGGACGGAAAGAGAGGTGTAGAGCAAGCACCATTTCTGCTAACCATCCCTAGCCACACTTTCCCCTCTGTCTCAGGAGACATGACTAATGCAAGTTACAGAAAGTGGAAATAGCTTCCTTGATTATTCTCTTCCTATCTGCTGGGCCTTAAATAATAGAAAATGATTATTAGCATTCCTTATTTATGAGGGAACCATTAGGACAGGGTGGTTAACTCTCACCACACAGGTTCCTAGGGATAGCACCAAAGAACCACAGGAAGCATCTGCCTGCAGGGTCTCCCAGTGCTAGGAAGCCCCAGATTCTGGAGAGAGACAGGTTAAATCCAGTCTACAACTTCCTCCTGAGGGGCAGCACCAATCTCTGCTCTTTGATGACCAGGGACAGGAGGTGCAGGAGTGGCTGGAGCTGTGCCAGGGGAGATTTCTGTTGGATATTGGGAAAAGAGGGTGGTGGGGCACTGTCCAGGCTCCCCAGGGCACGGTCAGGGCCCAAAGATTGCCAGAGCTCCCAGGAGTGTTTGGACACTGCTCCCAGGGATGCACAGGGTGGGACTGTTGGAGCTGTGCTGTGGGAACTCAATGACCCCTCCCTTCTCAGGATATTCCACGATCCCATAAATAACGGCAGTTTTGCCCCTTTCTAGCACTGCACAGGGCTCAGTCCTACCCTGAGGCTGTCGGGAGCCTTGGCTGGGACCCGGGCAGTGCTGGCAGGGCAGCGGCTGTGGCTGCACACACAGAGCTCCCCTTGAGCAGCCACCAGCTGCTCCTGCCCTGGGGTTTGTGTCATAGCTCCA